CCAAAAAATTCGGAGACAAGGCGTTGTGCCAAGGAGTAGCAACTTTATTCAGAAAGCCGATAGACGGAGAGGAATGGCCGACTAATGTATTTGGAGAACCATCCTGCTCTAGTCAGAATACAGGCTCCTTTTGTATGAGATAAAAAGTGTGGGGGGAAGGGGTGTGGTTGATTTTTGCAAGCTTCTTGCTGCAGGCACTCTTTGTTCTTGCAACTGTCCATGTGGGCCAGGTCCTGATGTCCCTGTAAACTTGCAATAAATCAAAAGTCATTCTCTATTTTGCAACTTGCCATCTCCACTTAACTGCAGAAGTGCTAACATCCTTCAAGGTCAGAGCCCCAAAACAGGTTCTCCTGTATATTGCACACTAAAGGCAACATTGTTTCACAAAAGGTGCAGAGCTGGCAAGACTGAGCCTAGAAAGTAGCGCACAGTGGTTGAAACTAAAGGAACAGATCCAATACAGAGTCAAATTTGTTCCCCTCTGTTGCATTGGCAATGCAGTGGAAAGAGTACCTGGGGAGGCGGGGGTGGCCAGGGTGTCGGAGCCTACAAGTGGGTCCTGCCTTGGAGGCTGCCGCAAGGTGGGGTGCCTGGAGGGTACCTTCAGTTTCACTTGCCCAACCCCCAAGGTGGAGAAAATCAAAGGCTAAATGAATAGGAGCCTCAAATAATGGAATGAGGGCTGCAAAAGATTGCTGGCCTGGGAAATTGAAAAGTAACAACCCATGAGGCTAACCAGAGTAAAAGTAAAGTAAAAAGTACAGTCATATAAAAGAAGATGAAATCAAATAAACATATGCTGAGGAACAGTATAAATGAGATGGAATAGGCTGAGAAGGAGTAAGGAAATCAAAGTAGAGATGGGCAATTAATGTACAACATAAGACCAAAGGCAGTGACTGAGGAAAATAATAAAAATAATAAAAAATAAAATAATAAAAAATAAGGACTAAATTCATATATATATATATTCTTTTAAAGAAAAAGCCAGTTGGTTAAGAGAGGAAAATAGCAGTGGGATTCTCTC